AAAAGTAAAAAAAAAGTTTATTTTTAGGATTGGTTGCTTCATCAAGTAAGCTTCCAGTAGGTACGCTATATTTTTTACCGCTTTAAGATTTTCCATTTAATAATTTAAATGGGCGTTTTTATGGAAATTCATTTGTATGTAGAGCACAGACAATCCAATTTATCTCTTGACTAACTTTAGTTTCATTTAGTGCAAGATTTTTTTGCCCATCAAAGAATAAACAGTCTATAATCTCTTTATAGCAGTAACTATAAAATTGATTAGCTACTTCAATAATTTTTTTATCTCTACCCGACGGGCATATGTTTTTAAAAGTTACGTTCTAAATGTATTTTAAATGTCATTTAAACGCCTTCTAAACATTCTTACGCAAAAAACGTTTAAATGACATTTAAAATACATTTAGAACGTAACTTTTAAAAACAAATGCCCGTCGGGTAGCTCTTCTAACTTTACAGTGATCAATTCTTATTTTTTTTCTATTAAAGTATTTATAATAACATATAATAATATATAATAATATTAAAAATATATTTAACAATATTAATTAATAATATTAACTACTGTTTTCAATTATTACTCTATTTTCATTTTTGGATAAAATATCTCTTTCTATCTATGCTTTAGTAGCTATCGATGCAGTTGCTCTTAAGACAACATCATATTTAATAATGGTCAATGTAGTTTTGGTTATATCATCATAGCTTCTAGATTTTTTAAAAAATTTTGCACCTTAGTTTTAAATAGAAATTTATTTTCTATCAAAATGTAACTCTTTAAAAATTTTATGTTTGCTATTTTGTTTCGCATGAGCATTAGTTTTGTTTTAAGTCTTGAGTTGCTTTTTTTTCTTATTAGTTTTTCTTCTACTATTTTTAGTTTGCAACTTTCTACTTTTATTAATCTTTTTGACGCTTTGAAATTAGCAGACCCAAGTTGATAAGGATTGAGAGTTACAATCTTTTCTTGCTAGGCTAACAATAAATGAGAAAAAACTTTTTTTTTTAAAAAAATCAAAGAGATTTTAAGAATTATAATAATTGAGCCTATTAACTAAAATGTTCATTAAAAAAGTTTTTAATTTTATTATTAGTAATACTTTTATATTATATTTAGCATAACTAATCATAAAGTTTATATAAACCAGTTCATTTATTGGTATTTTTTCCTCTCTAGGGCCCTATCATATAAAAAATTTACAATATTGTAAACTTTACAATGTAAATACGCCGAAATTTTGTAACTCTATTATAAAATTTAAGCCGTCTTATAAAACAATGACGTTTTTATGTAATTGGCGTTTTTATGTAAAATCTAAAAATATGTCTCGCAAAAGCGATTTAAAATTGCGCGGTAATTTAACTTTGACTTTAACTAAAAAACAACAAAACAAGATATCGCTTTAATAACACTTATAAACCAACATAGGAAAGTTTAAAAAAAAATAATGACCTATTTTTAAAATAAATTTTATAAAAAAAATTGGCATTATTTCTGCAATGATAAAAATATTAAGATAATTCGATTTTTTCGAAAACTAAATATTTATTTAGCCTACAAATAAATAAGATAAAAACCTTAAAAAAAAAGAATAATACACTACCAGCAAAGTTAAAGGATGGGAATAAAGAAATTGTTTCGAGGCCTGTATGGTTAAAACATTAATTACACTTTACCTTAAGTTAAGTGAGAAATGGGGTTTGCACTGAAAAACTTGTTATCATTGTTAAATCTATTTTTAAATTTTAAAGTAACCATTTTGGTTTTAATTATAGCTTTACTTCCGTGTGGCGATCCTACCCTTACTTCCTTGTGGCAAATTCTTAGCAACTTTTGCAAAAACCAAAAGCATAATTTAATATTTTTATAATCCTATATAAAGGAGATTTTCTATCAAATAATTACATGAAAACAAAGTAAAAGAAAACTAACTTTTATGGGAATGCTTACTAAAGAACAGAAAATGTTATGACTAATTTCATTTTGCAAAACAAAGAGAAAATGATCAGTTCTCTTTCTCCATTATGCAACATTCAAGATCAAAAAGAAAAATGGCAATAAGTTAGAAATCTTCTTGTAGCTCACGGTCTTTCTTCCACTGTTTCAGTTGAACATGTTCGGACAACTGAATGACAAAACCTAAGAAGATCAACAATGGATAAGTTTAAAAAACTCAACAAATCTGGTGCTGAAGGTGGTCAATTATTCGATTATTATGCACTGTGATGGAGATCATTGGAAAAGAATCAGCACATATTCTACCAGTTAATGTTGATGACATGAGAGTTAGAAAGAAAGTATTGATAAAAAAATTGCCGGATTCTGTAGACATCCCAGACCCAGGTAGTTTTGTATCATATTTAAAAATCAATAAACTTTTTCTAAGATGTTTTAATAAGTTATTTAAATCAGTTATAACAGTTGTTGACAAAAACTCTAAATAAAAATTACATAGTAGATGTTAAAGTGGTACGGTGGTTGATAAAAGCAACATATGTATAAAATTAAAATTTTCAATGTTTTCATTTTAAGTTAAAACAAACTCTAATTTATAGAAATCTCCATTGGGCAAGACGCTAGTTCATCAAGCTCTTGCATTGTTGTACAAGTTAATCCAGCCTCTAGCCAAGAGTCTGTCTCTAAAACGTCTGTCGAAACAGTTCCAAAATCTTTAGCTGCAAGATCGATTGCCCAGAATATACCAGCTATATCTACAAGTACTAAACGTTCTGTAAGAAGTTATTTTATAATAATCATTTAACTTCTGCTATGGTGTTTTACTTTATCTTCCTATGTGCCCAGTTAATAACAATCTAGTTTGTGTTAAGTAGTCACTAAAATATCAGTGTAACTTTTGAATTTTTTAAACACTTAGTAATTGATATTATCATATGCATGCATAAATTTATTTTAAATTGTAAACGTCATAAAACATAATTTAAGTCTTCACTTTCACATATTTTTTTAAGCATCTTTAAGTAAAATTGTTTAGGCTTTGACAAAACGACCGGCATCATCGTCATCTAAAATCTTTTCGCATAATGAGTACGGCACATTAAAGAAAGCCAAAATCAAGCAGAAACTGGATATGTTAAATAAAAAGGCTGAGTACAGAGCAGAACGTCATCTGATGGAGAAAATTGGTTTATAGCGGAAACCGAAATAGTTATTCTTGAGTAACAACTTCTCCGAGCTCAAATCCAGTCTTTAACTCCTCAAGACGCTCAAACATCCGAACCAAATACTTTCATTCTTAGTAAATCATAAAAACTTTTATATTTTTTTTAAAGTTTTATTACAGAACTTAATTAAATTGTTGCAGCAATTAAACTGTTTAAAAATTGTTGCCTAAACAAATTTAAAACTTTTTATATTTTTATTAAGGAATATATTATGTACTAACTCTAGATTTAAAAATCTGTAAAATTTGAGAGCTGCAAAGTTGTTAAAGAATATTTCAATATAAGTTACTCAAATTACGGTCAGGTAAAAATTAAGCAAATGTCGAAACTCCTCAACTCCAACCTCCCATATACCTGAACAAGACAAAAATAAGTACATACAAAATTTTCTAGAAATTACATTATATTAGACAGCTTTTTATTTTCCTTTCCAATACCAATGGTATAAGTAAAAACGACGCTCCATGTATACGGCTACTTTCTTAGAAATTAAACTTTATGTTCCATAGGGTTGAATTTGGTTATCAGCTGTCCAATATAATGTAAATCTATTAACCTAATAAGATATTAATAAGAGAAAAACTCGAAATTTTTGTTTAAAATTTAATAATTTTTTTAAAGCTAAAATTTAATAAACTGTGTTTATTTATATCAGTTAAACAACTGCAGTATTTGATCCGTGCGAGTACCTGATTGAATTTCAGTTTGAGTGTCGTCTTAAGCTTGAAAGGGCAAAGGTGTGGCAGATAAAACTGAAAAATCTTCATATTGCCAACTTTAAGGCACATACTGTGAATCATACAAGCACACACAACAAGTTTTGCAGCATTTTCTAATTTAGAAAATCAAATAGGTACTTGCAGAAAGTAAAACCTGTTTTTCAAAACCCCAAAACATCGCTTGGTAATATTTCTAGTTTTTCGGTGCACAAATCTGGTCCACAAATGTAAAAGACATTCAATGAATAAAACTGGTCGCGATTGAGAAATGCATCTTCATCTTTTGATGTAGGGATAATTGGTATGTGACTTTCATCGATGCAACCACACACACTTGGAATCTGTGCCATAGAATAACTGCATACTGGGAGGCTGTCAACAGGATGAGACTAATGAATAACTTCCTCTCGTTGACAAAGCAAACTATTCAAAACTGCATGAAAAGCTTGATTGCTGGAGTGTTTTTCAACACCATGATCTCGAATAATAAAATGAAGCAGCTCCTGAAATTTAAAAAGTTTTAAACTACTTAAAATATAACAATTCCATCCATACAAAAACAAAGAATACTTCATTAAAAAACCAGCTATACAAAAACAAAAAATAAAAAATGGAACTTTAAGAATGTTAGCAGTCTTTCCAGATATATTAAATTGAACTTTTATAAAAATCTTGAAATTTACATAATCCATACTTTAACTGTTAAAGCAAAGTAATCATTAAATTGTAATAACATACAGTAGCGTCCAAAAGTTTGCGGACAGGCAAAAAAATAAAGAATTTTGATTATATTTCAGCACATACTTTACTAAAGTCAATATATTATATACCAATTAAAAGGTTTTCAAATTTACAATTAGGTTTTGAACAAGTAATTATTACCTGAATAATATTTTTAAATTGGTATACAAATCAAAGATCTTTGATAAGTTCAAAAATTTGCGGACAAAGCATTATTTTTTTAAATAGTTAAAATATTTCAACAATATTTGATTAAAATTTTTGCAAAAGCAAAATCACATTAGTATTTTGTAGGATATCCTTTACAATCAAAAATAGCTTGGCATCTATGAGTCATAGAGTCAACTAAATTAATGCAAACGTCAATGGGAATTAAGTCCCATAATTCTTTGATTTTAATAAACAAATCAGCATAATTTGTAGGCTTAATTCCTTTCGTTTGACGGTAAACATGTTCCCATAGATGTTTAATGGGATTTAAGTCAGGTGATTGGAATGACCACTTCAAAACATTAACTTTACTCTCTTTAAAAAACTTTAAAACCGATTTAGCTGTATGTTTGGGATCGTTATCCTGTTGGTAAATCCATCCTCGAGGCATTTTATCCTTTGCATATGGTAACATAATAGTTTTACATATATCATTGTACTTTTCTTGATACGTATTCTCGGTAATTCTATGGAGAGGACCGACTCCATTTCGGCTAAAACATCCCCAAACTATTACATTACCTCCTCTGTGTTTTACGGTAGGCAGTTGGTATTTAGGATTGTACCTAGTATCTACTGGACGTCGAACATATCTGATTCCATCGGTGCCAAACAGCATAAATTTGCTTTCGTCACTAAAAAGAATTTTTGACCATTTTTGATTACTCTTTTTAGATGTTTTGATGCAAATTCGATGTAGATCTAGTAAGCTCAAATCTCTTCATAATTTGTCCAACAGCAGACTTACCAACTCCATAAAGCTGTGCTGTTTTAAGAAACGAGTTTCCATTCTGAACTGATCTCAAGATCAATTTTTTTACTAGAGATGAAATACATTTCTTAGATCCCATGATCTCAATCACTTATATTTAAAGTTTTGAAATTATTTCCACAAAGTATTTGTTTATAAAATCAACAAATTAGCTATTTTGTGGTGAAAATGTTAAAAACGTTAGTTTGTCCGCAAACTTTTGAACTTATTAAAAATTGCCATTTTGTTAACCAATTTTAAAATGATAATTAAATATTCATTATTTGCTCAAAACATAATTGTTAACTTGGAAACCTTTTAATTGGTATATAATATGTTTAAATATATATAATTACATATAAATATATATATATATATATATATATATATATATATATATATGCAATTATATATATTTAAATATATATATATATATATATATATATATATATATACATATATATATATACATATATATATATATATATATATATATATATATATATATATATATATATATATATATATATATATATATATATATATATATATATATATATATATATATATATATATATATATATATATATATATATATATAATATATATATATATATATATATATAAATATATATGTATATATTATATATATATATAATTATATTTATATATATATATGTTTATATATATATATATATATATATATATATATATATATATATATATATATATATATATATATATATATATATATATATATATATAAATATATATATATATATATATATATATATATATTTATATATATGTATATATATATACATATATATATAAATATATATATATATATATATATATATATATATATATATATATATATATATATATATATATATATATATATATATATATATATATATATATTGCAAAAGATCCCTTTATACTGACCAGATTCCTGAAATAGAAGCAACAGATAAAAAATAGAAAAGAAACTAACTAAAGAATATTAATAGACACAAAAAACAATATGCACTTTGTAGTTTTTTGAAAAGAAAGTAAATAGTTATAAAATATGTTATTTTTTAAGCATATGCTTCAAGTATTTATTTGCTTAGAAGAAAAAAAGTAGTTAAAAAATATGTTATGCTTTAAGCATATGCTTCAAGCATAGTATTTGTTATTATTAATATTAGTATTAAATAATATTAATAGTATATTATTTTTTTTAAACTTATAGTAAATATTATTTTATTTATAACATAAGCATACATTTAATAATTATTATTAAAATATGCACTGCTTGCTTATGCATACTTTAAAAAACATTGCTTGATTATGAATACTTAAAAAGCATTGCTTGCTTATGCATACTTTTGTATTTAATATTAAATATATGCTAATAATATAAATAAATTAATATAATATTAATACTATTTATTACTAATATTAATAACAACAAATACTATTAAATACTATGTAAATACTTTAGAGAGATGCGCATCTCATTAAAGTATATTTTTTAGTAGTATTTGTTATTAAATAGTAATATATTTTAACACTAAAAAAACAAAAGACTTAGAACTCTACATACATAAGAATCTCTAAAAAGAGTTTTAAATTTTAAAAAATGTGTATACGTATTCTTAGTAACTTGATTGGCAAAATGTTTAATATAATTTGCAGTTTAAAAAACCGTTTTGCTTTTTAATGGATTTTATATTAAATTATTACATATTTTGAATGTTTTAAGTAAGTAAACCAAATTCAAAATAATAATTATTTTCACTACTTTACTTATTTTCAATATGTTTGATATATTTTTACATTTTTAACTCAATAAAATTCAATATTAATTACAATTTTACACACCTCTTGGGCAGTGTAAAATTGTAGTTGACACAATTGTAAAATTGTGAACAAAAAATCGCCCTATACTTTTTATAGGACTGCGTAATTTTACAATGTAAACATGTAGCTACATTGTACAAATTTACATTGTAAATTCGCCTAATATTACTAAAGTTTATTTTATTTAGTTTACTGGTTTTTCTAGAAAAATATCATATTTTAATACTTCTTTTAAACTTTGTCATAAATAAAAAGATAATAACATCAATATTGATAAGAAATATATTCCAGGTAAACTATTCTTATAAAATAGATTAAAAATTAAAATAATACAGTTGCATATTCCTTAATAAAAGGAAACTAAAAGCAATCCTGCCTTTATTTCTTTTTACCGAAACTATATTTATCAAATCATATCACACTATAAAAACTGATCAAATTAAATATAAAAATCTACTTTCTGAGTAGTTTCTTTTAATAATTTCTATGATAAAATATAAAAACCAATAACTTGTATACAAAATGTTGAAAGAAGTTTTTTAATGAAGTTTCTGTTATTAAGTTATTTGGAAAGTGTCCTATTAAATTAAATTTACTGAAGTTATTACATAAAAATTCGACAATTTGCACCTCCCCTTTTTTTAATGATTCTACTAATTAAAAATTCTGAAACAGTTTAAACTACTAAATGTTTCATGCTTATCACGTATTAGTTTCAGTAAATAAGTTTGCTATAAAGCTCATAAAATAAGTCTGTTGTAAAGCTGGTTTAAGACTTTAAATGTTTAAGTTGATTCTAAAAGTATCAAAATATGCTAAAACCAAAATTTTTTGCAATTTTTAAAGCAGTTCTCTGGTAGCTTAAACTCATTTAAATTTAAGTTTAATAGTACTGAAATTGATATGTAAAACACTTTTGTTTTTATAATTTCAATAAAAAACCTGGTTATTACCTAAGTATGACAAAATCTGGTCATTACT